AAAAAAAATTATTTGAGGTCAGGTTGCAGAGACAACAGGTCCAGAAAAAAAAAACAGACCTCCATCTTCATCTTTTAATAATGGCATCCCTGAAAGATCCACACAAAGCCCACTGCGTTTTTAATTAAGATAATTTAACTAACTCGAGGCAACGTGTTCCTCTCCCCAGCGACACTCTCCAGCTCCTTCTGGGGAATCCTAGGTGTTCCCAGACCAGAGAGGATACATAATCCATCCAGTGAACTCTGATTATGCCCCAATGGTCTCTTCCCAGTGTCCCAAAAACCTCTAAATGGAAATTGACAGAKTTGTAGCCTTTTTGGTCAAACCTTGAAAATAATGTTATGTTAAAGTGTGTGGTGAACTAAAAAAAGTATAAAAAATGACCTTCAGCCAAAAAAATAAAAAATAAAATAAAGGAAAAGGAAACAAGAAGTTATTGTTTGTAAGAAAAATACAGAATACTGACTAAAGATAATTAAACAAAATGTAGAAAAACAAGCTGAACATAAAACATCAATATAAGAACAGAGCATCAGTGGGCTGGAGATGATCCGGATGAGGAGACGGGGCTGAAACTCCACTTCGGTTCTTTGAAACACAGAAAAACGAGTGAATAAAAGCAGCACATTTCCACAGTCATGATGATATGAAGCTGCGGAGGAAATGGCGGTCATTACCTCTACAGGAAATGACCAGGTTCACATTTTCTCATCCCATCAATGCAAATAGGATAGCTGATGAAGTCATTTCTCAAGAGTGGGACAAGCATTAAAACTTTCTGTGCTCCATATGCCTGGTTATTTAAAACCCAAAGTTCCTAAGTTGGTTTCAGATTTGTTTTCAGAGCTCAAAATATGAAATATGGAAACAAATCTTCATGGACTGCTTAAAGGCTGGGGTTCAAAGTATTATAAGACTCTTAAATGTGCAGTTCATGTTAGCGATTTCCAAACTTTCAATCCAAAAAAAAAAAAAAAAAAAAATTAAAAAAATTAAGTAAATACATAAATAGCAGCAGAAACGTTTAAACAGAAACTTGTGCTAGAAAATCTGTGCCTCCTGAAGTGAATTACCGTAAGTGATAGAAAAGTTGCACCTCGTAAAATGATTTACTGTAAATGAAAGAAAAGCTGCACCTCCTGAAATAAATTACTGTTACTGTAATTGAAAGAAAAGTTGTGCCTCCTCAAATTAATTACTGTAAAATCATAGAAAAGTTGCGCCTCATAACATTAATTACTGTAAATGTTAGAAAMGCTCCACCTCATGAATTGAATTACCGTAAATTATTAAAAACTGCACCTCATGAATATTAGGCCTACTGTGTTTATTAAAGTACTTTTTGTGTTTCCAAAGGTCTATCCAGATGACCTGAACCTTTTATATTAGACAGCCATATCATCTGTCAGTGTTGGGTGTTCCCTGTAGTTTTAACTGTTTGTTTGTTTTTTAGGTCAGTCCTCCAGTCTCTCTGTTGGTGCCATCATGGCTGAGTCAAGCTGGTGGAAGCTGACCTTCTCACGCAAGAAGAAATCTGAGCCCAAAGTTCTGTACGAGATCCCAGCGGAGCACGGCAGCAACAACAAGGAGCACCCGAACCCCGCCGCAGACAAGAAGGACAGCCAGTTAAACTCTAAGCTGGAGAAGATCGTAGACAAATCTGCCACCAAAGGACGCCACGTCAAGGTCTCCCACTCCGGTCGCTTCAAGGAGAAGAAGAAGGTCCGAGCCACGCTGGCCGAGAACCCGAGTCTGTTCGGGGAGCACCACCATAGTGATGAGAACCATAAAAACAAGACTGACAAATAGCAGATCAGAAATGTGTCATAAATCACCTGGAAACTCATTGAAGGGAGTTAAAAAGGCCCAGGTAGATACTGTAACCAGCAGATTACACACGCCGGATCAGAAAACAAATCTTTAGATGTTCACAGATCAGTTCCGGAACAACTTCCTTCTGATTTAAGGAGGCAAAACCTATAAACCAAATGTCTGTCAGTGTCCTGCTCACTGTGGGGTTTTACACCCACCTGTCACTTTATTAGGTACACCTTGGTGTTGGAAATGTTCCCCCAGAGTCTGGTTCATACAGAATCTGGACTGAGATCTGGAAACTCCAGTTTCTCACTGTCCAGTTTTGGTTTAGCTTCAGTTTTTACCTGACAGGTGTGGTCTTCTGCTCCAGCAGCCCATCAAGGTTAAAGTTTTCTGAACACCTCCTGGTGGCTTTAAAGATGGCTGAAGAGTTGCTGCCATCTGATTGGCTGATTGCTTGACCAGGTGAGCCTAATAAAGTGGCAGGTGAGCGTATAATTAACAAAAACAATCACCGAAACAGTCCAAGTCTGATCTTTTCACGGTAACACTATTGTAAATTTCTTATTGAAATAATATATTTGGATTTTTTTCTTGTGTTTTCGAGAAATGAATTATGATTTTATGACCAAACAAAAATAAAAACTTCATTTTAAAGAATGTGCCTGAAACATGGTGGTTAAAACTCCACATTCAGTAGCTCCAAAAAAGGTTTGAAGCCAAATAAAATGTGTAAAAAATGAAAAATTTTAAAAAGGTTTCCTAAAACGTTTTTTTTTGTCATGCTCTCACAGTGTATTAGGTAAAAAAAACAATAATATAAATATTTTGACAGTCACATAAAATGTGAAAAAACTGTTGGAAAGTCTTAAATTTATGAGTTTTCTGACGTAAACAAATATTCAAGTTTTTCATGTAAATATATGTTAATGTCTGAACTTCTGACATCTTTATTAGAATTTAGCCCCGCCCACAAGCTTATTATTATTTTTTCATTTACAATGATCCAAACATGTCATTGTGTTTTTTTAAATCACCTTAAAATGCATTAAAACTTTTTAAGTGGATATTTTTTAGATTTGGTGGAAAATATTTGCTTAAATTTGTGTTTTTATACTGAATAAGAGCTAATTAAAGAATTWAATAATGTGAATTTGGAGCATGAATTGTACATTTTTGGGTTTAGAAAGTTCCAGAAAGTTTTTTGTTTTTGTGATGTTTAGTTTTAATAAAGTGGAAAAAAGCTGTTTGAAGAAAAGAAAAAGTTTGCTGCTTTACTTCAGCTGATCTGAGATCTTTTTTTTTTTTTTCAATTAAGGTGTCGTCTCACCTGAGCCGCTGTTGGCAGGTTGTGTTGCTCTGGCGACCGTAAACAGACACCGACATCCAACGCTTGCGTATATTTTATTTATCAAGCAGAATCGACTGCAGGGATCAAAAATCCTTCTCTTCTCGGCTGCTGGTGCMGAAGATTTGCTTCGTCTGAACTTCTGTTGCTGACACCTGCTGGTCGAACACTCAGTCCTTCTCTTCAAAACAAAACTTTATTATTCTTATTTTTTTAAACAGACATTTCAAGTGAAACATAAAACACAATATCTCTTTTACAACACAACAGTTGACAACATCAGCACATTTATTTTCATTACAAGGCAGTTCTGTAATCAGCTACAATTCATTTTAGTTTATTTTACCTAGAGGACTTTATAAATAATTACACCGGTCACATGTTGGCTCTGAATTTCTTTAAGAAACCCACATATTACAGTCGAATTTAGACAAAGTACGACTGTGTAGATTTGGCAGATGCATTAAATCCTGATAAATTCTACTTCATAACTAAAATAATGTAAACAATTTTTAGTGCAAAGCAGGTGGTCTCAGATTACAGCCCTACAGCTTCATTAGAAACTATAATTTAATTCTGAATTATTTATCATTTGGGAAAAAATAAATGAGATATGGCTTGTGCAAAAGTTTTTGTTTTATTTATATTTTCTTTCCAAGCAGCTCAAGTTTCTCCTGATCTTTTACAATAACTCTTGATTAAAAGTTAAACATTTGGTGCTTTTTTTTCATATTTTGTAACTGAATATTTTCGGATAAATTAGTTTCTTCCTGTTTGTTTGGCCACCTAACTTTGACTCAAGCATCATTTGTGAATAAAAAAATAAACAGAAAGCTCCAGACAATGGGTTTACCCGACTACATCTCCTTAATGAAGTGGTAAATGTCTGCGTTTATTTTGGGTTTAAATCGATCCATTTTTTTCCACATTTCTCACTTGATCAGATCCCATAAAGTGAAATAAACGGATCGGCGCAAAGACATTTAACGAGCGGTCTCCAGCTCTACCTTTAGATGTTTTTATTTCAAGTAAAGATCACGAAAACGTTCAGGATGAACCGTTCTCACGGAGACAGCCTCTGGTACAGCCATCCTCCCGCCGCTTCTCGCTGAAACTCTCCCAGCTTCTCTCCGACCTTCTTCTTGGTGAAAACGATGCGGTCGTGCAGTCGGTTGGTCTGACCCTGCCAGAACTCCATGGTGTGGGGTTTGACCAGGTAGCCGCCCCTGAGTCATCACCAGACAGCAGAGGATTAGAATATTTTAGAAACACATCCTGTTGTTCTGCAGAGAGCTAAAAAATACAAACGTATAGAAGACTGGAACAGACAAAATCAGGATTACATAAAAATATGTTGATAAATGCAATAATTTACCAAAATGTTACAATTTTTATTCACCTATCCTTTAATCTTTTTTTTTGCATTTTTAAAAATTTCTGTACATTTTTTTCCATGGTTACTTTCATGAACATTTTAAAATCACTGGTTTTAAAGTAAAACAGAGGGTTACATTAAATTAAAGTTTATATTTTTCGCAACTTCTGGTTTGTGGGAAAGCATCCTTCAAGTTCTTAAATGATTCTTATCTTAATACGTTTTCCTAATTACTAGACACTTTTTTATTTTTATGTCTATACAAACATACCTGACATACCATACCTTAAATGATTACATGATTAACTCATAAAATCACTGATTTCTTTCTGATTATGAAACAAAACAAAACATCACCTCAAGTGTAGAATGGAGCAAAAATGAACATAAAAATATAAAAAATAAATAAAAAACAAAGACAGTTGTGGTGGTAAAAAGAGGAGGAAAGAGCAGAGACAGCAAAGATTCAAAAATAAATACGCGAGTTACAAAAATATTACATTTCACTAAAGTGTGTTGGATTCTTTCTAGTTAAAGTAGACGTATCCTGCTTTTAAATCCTTCTTTTTCACATTTAAATCCTTCAGTTGGGGTCTAAATAAAGTGGAACCACTCCTTATTGTAACTCCACAAGCCCCTCTTTCACCACTTTTCTGAGTCTTAGATCAACTTGTTTCGAGGCTGTCTCTTTAAATCCAAACGAGGCGCTTTAGACCCCGCCCCCTTCTAGACCGATCCATAATAGTTTGATAGAGGGATTTACGACTATATAGCTGCACAGAAACTTTATATTTACAAACTAATTAAAAGACGTGAACAAGAGAAGACTTGTCCATCCAGTCAGAAAATAGAGAAAATTGAACAGGTTGAAATTTTTGACATAAACAGAATATAAAAGATATTTATGCAGCACAGAGAGACTAAATTATTTTTTCTGCACTCATAGAGACTCCAAGTATAACAAAATGCATTTAAAGTGGATTTTGCAGGATATGTCTCCATTAAAATGCTCAGAATTGTTATTTAGAAAAAGAAAGACTGAATGTTTTTACAGTCAAGTGTTTTAGTTTTTTTTTTCCAGCTCACCAGTAGTTGGGCATTGGTACTTCTTTGTCTTTGTACTTCTCCTCCAGTTCTGCATTTTTCTGCCTTAAATACTAGAAGAAAAGCTCAGAGTTGATCCTCCGGACTTCATACATTCCTGTGTTACAAATAAAACGGACAGCGTCCGGTTCTTACGTCTCTGTTAGGAATCGGGCTGCTCTGCCGGCTCACGACGGCTCCGATCTGGCTGCTCTTTGGTCGAGTGTGGAAATAATCGCAGGAGCTCTGCTGGGGAATTCTCTCCACGGAGCCTTCGATCCGGATCTAAAATGAGAGAAAACCGACCATCGTTACAGGAAAAATGGATCCCAAAGGAGGTTCGTTTAAAGTGAAGCTGGTCCACCTGTCGGTTCAGAGGCTCCCAGTAGAAAACCAGGCAGGCGTGAGGATTGCTGTCCTGCAGAGAAGAAAACTCACTGAAAATCAATCAATCCTCCTTCTTCAGCTCCGAGAAACTTGGTTTTAAAAAGGATTTACCGGTATATGCAAAGATTCTTAACCCATGGGCCGCGGCCAAGCGCCACCTTGAGGGCCTCAAAAGAACAACAGGGCCTCATTGATTTTGAATAAGGTGCAATACACTTTCTCGCCACTAGTAGCAGTAGTGCGCCACTCAGTTGTTTAACAACGTTTTTATTTTATAGAAGAAAAACATTAGAAACCTTCCGAGAACGGAAACGTATTTTAAATGAAAAGTAAAAGTCAAAAATGAAAGTAACTCATCAAAAAACACCAAAGTTTGTCACTAATGTGAAATGCAGCTTCTGTTTTTATCATGCAATATTTTAAAAGTTCAAAACTTTATCAAATACAGTTGCAGATACAACTATATTTTAATTTGCACTTTAAATTAATTTTTGTAGTTTATTTTTAAATATTTTGAATGTATTTAATTTAGTTATGTTAGCTATGATAGTTTAGTTATAATGTAAATACAATAAAAATTAAACC